GCCAGATGATCTTTATTAGTGTGACTCCTGCCAGATGATCTTTATTAGTGTGACTCCTGCCAGATGATCTTTATTAGTATGACTCCTGCCAGATGATCTTTATTAGTGTGACTCCTGCCAGATGATCTTTATTAGTATGACTCCTGCCAGATGATCCTTATTAGTGTGATTCATTTCAGATGATTCTTCTTAGTATGATTCATGCTAGATGATCCATCTTAGTATGATTCGTGTCAGATGATCCTTTTTCGTATGGTTCATGTCAGATGATCCATTCAAATATGATTCATGCCAGATGATCCTTCTTGGTAGGATTACTGTCAGGTGATCTCTCTTAGTATGATTCATGCTAGATGATCCATCTTAGTAGGATTAATGTCAAATGATCCTTTTTAGTAGGATTACTGTCAGGTGATCTATCTTAGTATGATTCATGCCAGATGATCGTTTTGAGTATACTATATGATGAGACTCTTTCCTCTAGTTAGTAGATATAACAATAAACAAATGTTAGGATAATACTCTCTCCTCGGATTAGTAGATCCAGTAATAAATAGTATGAAAATAATTTATCACTAAATAAAAAACCTATGAAGTGCTGGCTGTCTAAAAAAGAAATCAAAGAAGTTAGGGAAGGAAGTGGACATATCATTTGATCAGCTAACGATCACATAGCAGACTAAGCCATCTCGACTTTACATGGAGAATATAATCCGTACATTTGTCGCTCGGAAGCAGATGAACGAAAACAAGAAATCTTGACTTTGGCTATTAATCCTGTTTTTGACTATGGGACGCTCTGGATAGCTGAAAAGCGGCATATATACCAGAGATGGTGGTAGATTTACATATCTAATTTGTGATAGCCTTGTGAGAAGAAAATTCACATTACTTTTGTATTGCTTTGATACAAGCATCCATGCCATCCGTACGTAGAGGTGGTAGCGCACTCTCCGACAAACAGATATTATAGTAATATACGTATATTATAAGGCTCTTTCCTCAGGTTAATAGATATAGTAATATACATATATTATAAGGCTCTTTCCTCAGGTTAATAGATATGGTAATAAACAGATATTATAAGGCTGTTTTCTAGGGTTAATAGATATAGTAATAAACAAATATTATAAGACTCTTTCCTCTGGTTAATAGATATAGTAATAAACAGATATTATAAGACTTTTTCCTCAGGTTAATAGATATGGTAATATAAATATATTATAAGGCTGTTTCCTTAGGTTAATAGATATGGTAATATAAATATATTATAAGGCTCTTTCCTCAGGTTAATAGATATAGTAATATAAATATATTATAAGGCTCTTTCCTCAGGTTAATAGATATAGTAATAAACAGATATTATAAGACTCTTTCCTCGAGTTATATATTGAACTCAATGCATATAACAGACTATTTTAAACACAAATTTTAGGGTTATGTGTATTTAAAAGACGAAATGTTTCTACTTGGATGGTAATGAGATGAATTTAAAGGATACCACAAAAAACACAAAAACTTTATTTGATAAACTTTTAGTGAGAGATATATATGAAGATTAAAAGGCCGGGAGTGGCCTAGTACTGGATTGTGAACCCGAGGGTTCATGGCTCACATCCCTTCGTTTGTGAATTTGATGTTAAAGAAGGCAGCAGTATATCACCTCCCCTGACACACACACACACGATATAATTAACTATTATACATGCACCAACAAGAGCTTTAGTTTATTGTAAGTCGTTGAAAGCGATGCTGGGTTATAAAAAAACGTCCATTTTGACATGGGTTTGGAATTGTGTGATTCATACAGTTGGTGGATCAAGAATAAGTTGTTGTTGTTGTTGTTTTACAGATGGAGGTAAAACCTCGTGCATTAACTCAAGAGATCTATACACTAAAAGTTGCTGAAAAATAAAATGTAGCACTGAAAGTTATAAACAGAGTTGAAGATTCTGTGTAGTGAATTAACGAATCTAGGAGACATTTAGAGCAAAGAAAAACAAAAATGTAGATAAAAAAAGAAGAAAAAACTTGAATTTCCTTCAATCCCTCTACCATTTGTATAAGATATTGAAGAAACAAAAAAATAATGTAATAAACCAATGCTTTTACTTTATTAATTAAAAGTTAGTATTTAAGGCCTTACAAACAATTATTCATGATAATAAAATGTATTACCAAATTAACAATCTTATGATATACGAAGAATAGTCGTGTGAATCCACAAGGTTCAATGACGAAGGTCAAAGACCAGTGATCAACGACCTCGCCGACCCACCACCAATTTTTCTAATCCCATCATGGGAGACTCAAAGGCTAATGACGTCACAAGGGCCAGTCCATATGACCAGAGTATAAACGTCATAAAGAATCCAGCCTGAAAAATGACCATAACATGTACATCATCATCTCCGAACAGGGATAAGTTAAATATCTGAAGAACATTTCTAGAGATAAATAAATCTCCAGAGCAACGTTCAATATAAAATAATTCTTCACATTTTTCTCAGAGTCACACATTATCATTTAGTCTCCTAAAGCACAAGTAACAAACTGTCATACAAAAAATATACGTTTATGAAGCATGTTACATCAAGTAGTAATAAACCCCAAGTTGTGGTTAACGTAGGACATCACATTAGGGGGGAGGAGACCTCTTAACTATTTATATACTACAGATTATGTTTAACGTAGGACATGACATTAGGTTGGGAGGAACCTCTCAAATACTTCTATGCTACAGATTATGGTTAACATAGGACACGACAATAGGGTGAGAGGAACCTCTCAAATAGTAATATACTACAGATCATGGTTAACATAGGACATGACATTAGGGTGAGAGGAACCTCTCAATAGTAATATACTACAGATCATGGTTAACATAGGACATGACATTAGGGTGAGAGGAACCTCTCAACTGGTAATATACTACAGATCATGGTTAACATAGGACATGACATTAGGGTGAGAGGAACCTCTCAAATAGTAATATACTACAGATCATGGTTAACATAGGACATGACATTAGGGTGAGAGGAACCTCTCAAATAGTAAT